GCCAAAGGCCGTATGTTTGAGAAAGTTGACCAAACACCTCGCAAAATTGGAACTTAAAAGTCCAATAACGGAATCTGGTAGGTATTCAACAGTGTCCACAAAAAAACCCAAAATAACTAGAATCAGAAAACACGTTGATATCTCTCTAAAACAAAAACAGCTGACATGATAAAAAGTCCAAGAACTTTTACCTAAAATCTCCCGAGAGAAATATTGGATCTTGGAAATATCAATTCAACACATGAGCATGTGTAATGCATGATTAATCCCAGCCCCGAGCTCTGGTGAGAGGGTTCTTGAATTATTGATCCAGAGAAGAAGAAAAAAAAAAGGTGAGAGTAATAGCCTTTATACCTGGCATGGAACAGAGCTCTGCCATGATCTCAAAAAGACCAGAAACAGTTTGATCAGCTTGAAGCAGCCTGGGGTGAAATAGAAATCTAATGCAGCGTGCTGTATCCCACCTGCTTTAGCAACGAACTGCAAAGTTGAGTCAGCACCATTTACAACCATTCTCACAGCAGAGTGATTCCTCAGATGCAAAGGGATACACCACCTTCAGATGACTTTCCAAAGCACTCTCAACTACTCGGGAAGCCACCCGACAAACAGATCAAAGGTGAACGGCTCAAACGCCCGAAAGGCTGGCACCACTCAGTCAGCGGAATGGAAATTCAGCCCAGAGGAAGGAGAGATTGATCAAGTGCTAGATTCACAGGTATAACAGGGCCAAGACATCACACTTCATGATACATCTCCACATAGTGAGAGGATTAGCATGCACTTCAGAGCACCCTCCACCCTGCTTTTCGTACTTTTCTACTTCAATGCACTTTGCCTGTCCTGTTGGAAGCAATTTATTCCACATCTCCGTTAGTCAACAAATCCGAACTCAAAAAACAAAATACAACTACAATATTCCTGCTCTACTTAGATAAGGATAAAGAATTTTCCCCAAGTGCAATAATCAGTTGGTTTAAAAAAAAGTTTTTATATGACTCTTGATTTGATAAAGCTCCAAAATGCGTTCTATTGAAGTGAAGTGATCATCTCAACATCAATACACGATGAAGCAAGAAGTATAATGTCAGACTTCCCTTTCAACATTGCTCTGTTGCGGGAAGTGGGGCCATATAACATTTCTTTAAATGAATCGAGAATGGAGTCCAAAGATTGACAACTCCTGAAAGAGATTCTTTATTTTCTTTATACTTCTTTATACTGAGGGAACTCATGCTGGCACCCAAAGTCTATCACAAATGTCATGTATACTCATTGGTGCTACACTCCGACTGTGAATTTGTAAGAGCACACAGCAGTGAATTTGGGCACAACAATGTCCCACAAACAGCTATGAAGTGAATGACCAATTTTTTGCATCTGGGGAATGTTGACCAGGACTGGCAGAAACTCCCTTCTCTTTTTGAATCATGCCATGGGTATCTTTATTGTCCATCTAAACAGGCAGACTCAACCTCGGTTCAACATCTCATCCATAGGAGGTCACCTCCAGCAATGCTATGCTCCCCCAGCCCTGTACCGGAGTTTCAGCCTAAACCACAAGCTCAAAGTACATAAATTCATACTTGGCTCTTGGCCTAACAATATTTCCATCAATCATTTAGATCTGCACGACATTTCATCTTCTCTATCTATATTTCACTAAATGCAAACTGATATGTAAATATATGCCTTACGTCACCGATTGCGGAACAAGCTCGAAGGGCTGAACGGCCTCCTCCTGTTCCTATGTTCACTCACTAAACCTCGACCCCATCAGTTGGTGTCTTCTCCAGCACATGGGATTATTACCACAGGAAACGTGATCCGGCAAGTGACTAGCAACTGGGTTCCTACTTACCTCAAGGTAAACAGAGGCGTGTGGAACAAGGAAACTTGCCTAATGTTTTGCCCTGCTGGGATTGGAACCCAGTCCTGTTGCTTGCAAGGCGAGTGCTCTAACCACTAAGCTACAGGACTCCACAAAAATACTACAAAGCACAGAGTAGAGTGCTCCAGCTATATGAATTATTGATAGTTTTGCGCAGCAAACCGCAAAAGACTAAATGCAAACAGGTATGTAAATATGTGTCTTACGGTCAACGATTCGGCATGAAATTAATTTCTTTATTTCATTGCTACACATGAAAAATCCCTTCCCAAAAACAATAATTAGATTAAGAAGCACTGCAAACTCCGAGGGAGGGCATGGTGAGATTAAAAATGTTTATTAATGATCTCAGTGGATTTTCATTTTTTATAATGAACACTCTAACGACAATTACAAATTAGCCTGCAGAAATGCACAATTATTATTTCTGTTGCTATCACAGTTTGTAGAGATCAGGTAAACTTTGTAAGCAACTTAATTAACCAATTTTGCTCACAACGTTCTCATTAGGTTACATTCCAATTAATTCTAAAGCTGCACTCGGATTGCATGTTTGCCATTGCGATGCCCACAATACATACAGTCACTCCGTTTCTATCCTTCTATGATTTTACAATGTATCCTGTGAAGCACTTTGGGACATATTCCTGACATGAAAGGGGCTGTATCAATGTAAATTTGTATTGTATTGAGCAATTATTTTGGCAGTAGTTTCTAAAAGCCTTAACGATCTTGCTCCATGCATTCGGACTGTATCTGACAGGCACCCACAGGGGACAAATTTCACATCTATTTCCTTCTCTGCTATTGGAATCATAGACACACATAATATTGCTGTAGTCACGCCATCAGCTGTAAATGATATGCATGATACTTATCCAAATAAAATTAACATTGATTGCAGTTTCACTAAATGAAATATGATCAGAAACGTTGCTTTTCTAGGTGAAAGATTGATTTATTTTGCATTTACTTCCACAAAGGTATACCTTGACATTTCTGGTGGGGGTGGAGGTAGTTGTGAGAGAAATTGGAACCCATTTTGTCATTTTACACATCAACCCGCATTAAATCAAACCGTCAAGAGGTAATATCCCCACAAATTGTTAATGTAAAATCAAAGCAGGACTGAACTTTCACTGGAATACATCCAGGCCTTGCAGAAAATCCATACAGAGGATATATTTAATGCACCCTCATCAGCCAGGTGTTTGATGTCAATTCTAAATAACTTGAACATAACACTGAGGTGTCACAGGAATTTTTAAAATGGGGCTCAATATTTTACACTGCTCTAAGGTCACCTTAACTGCCAGTCAGTTTTCAAGGTGCAGTGACATGTTAATGTTATAAACCGACCGCAAGAGGAAATTCAAGATGTTCTGACAAGACACGCACAAGCTTTTCTCGGAAATTGCACATTCTGTGCTTTTATTTTTTGACGGTGGTGGAAATTGCAAATGTTTTCAGAAATCATACATTTTGAAACATTTAAGTGCAGCATTCTCCACCAGCTTACCTGAATCTAAACAAGTGACACGCTCGTTTCATATGACAAGATCGCAAGCCCGTGCTGGCAAAACAATCAAATCACATGGAATATTCAACAGATTTTCTTCAACAAGGCTCTAGACTTACAATAATGGAAGTCAAATGCTTTTCGAAACAAAATGTACAACCAAAGTGCCAGCGAAGCCACCTTCAGACTATCATGGGATTTTTCCAAGCGTAGATTTTGGTAGAGCTTTGTTGTAGTAATTAGATCTGATTGTACATTACAGAATCACATCTAAGGCACTCAAATGCTTGCTCATAAATTTTTAAACTTTTGCCAGAAGGTTCTTTAATTAAAGGCCCTTTGTTGTTCTGTGTGTGATTTTAGCTCAACAGAAATGTTTTACCATCAAATGCATTGCAAATTCCTTACTGTGTGACCGACCACCTGGCAATAACTGGACCTGGACAAATATGACAATACAAACAACACAAATAGGTCCTTCTACCCAGTTCATGTAAATTGTTTGGAACAATGAACAATCATAAAACAAGAAGCATGTTTCCCAGAACAGTTTGTAACAATAAGAGGGGCACTTGACAGTGCTTCCCCTGTGTAAAAGATTAGGTTTGCTGCTATTAACTAACCAACCAATTAGCATTTGGGAGACGCGAGTTAGTTTGGTGTCTAAACTAACTGACATCTCACAAAGCGCTGGGATTAGGAGTGCCCCTTGACAAGGTCATTTGTTAACTCAGGTTATCTTGTACATTAGCGTTACTTAATGATTTTGTTGAAAACCACATGCGCAAGCGGGGTCTGGTTCCAAGTCTGCTCTCTGGGACCTCAGGTATATTGCCAATTGGAATTTGAATCATTCCTGATTTTGGTCATTTCACCAGGGACAAATGCTAATTACCGTGAATGCCTACAGGAGGAAGACAAGACAACAAAGAAGGACCATAGTATCTATTGAAGTTGTAGAATTGGATAAAGACAAGGGCCTATAATCGTAATTGAGCCCTTGTACTTGCTGAGTTAAGTCTGCCTCATCAACGCAATTTATGTAGGGTGATTTACCATTAAAAGTGCTGCGTAAATCTGGGTTAAGCAGCGTGATTTGCACTGATACCTACCTGCCTGTTGAGATGATCTCAAGAAGCAACCTAGCATGACATGCTCTCTAAAAACATTGACAATTAACAGCAGACCGCAGAGCTCGGCGCATACACTTAATCGCAAACAAGCAGACCTTTGCTCAGAAGCCAGCGAGAGTGGTTGGCAAATATAAATGCAGCTCCCCATTGCTCTGCTGCAAGAACCAAAGTCACATCACTTGCATCAGTATAAACACAGCATGAATAGCATTCCCTTGCTTTCTCTCAGTGGACAGTAAGATTCATTCACTGGGCTGTTATTTGAGCCACTTGCTGCAGTACAAATACTACCTGGCATCTTCCCAGTGCTCAGATCTGCAGCAGAAAGCAAGTCAAATGGGTTCTTAAATAACACATTCATTAAATCGGTCGTCTGTTTTGGTTGGAGAAATAATATAGTATTGACAAAAGTTTAATTCTATTCAGGGCCCCCCAATGAAAGATGAAACATACTCACAAAAGACATTGTGCCATAGAGCTGATTGACACCTTTGGGAGTTAAATGCTTTGCCAGATGAAGATAGATGGAACCGGGAGTGCTATCCTCTGTGGTTAAGGGAGTCTTCAGTGCAGCAAGGCAAGCCACGCTCTTGGAATACTGCAAAAGGAAAACAAAAGGCAATATACTGTAGATGCTCATAAATATTAAACACAGCATTATGAAAAGCTACACACATATCTATATATACATTTCAGCAATTCAACCTTGTACTGACACACAACCAAAAAAAGGAAGTGCTTCTGTAACTGAAGAAGGATCGAACCAATGTACTGTATTGATCAGAATCAAATTATATAATACCCTCTAACATTCTGCGCCAAACCTGTGAGTTTCTGTGCAAACACTACAAATATGTGTATGTATGCTTGTTGAGAAAGGTAGCTAAACAATTGCACAGGTCAATCCAGGGACAAGATAAACAGTGGTAGAGGGGGATGAAAATAGGTCAATTAACAGATTGGATGAGAGCAGCAGAATGGGAGAGGAAAAGTACAAAGAATCTGCCAGGAGACGAAGTACGGTTAAGAATTTGGACTGGAAAAAAATCCTAGGAAATCTATCAGTATCTGAAGGCAGCAGGGAATGATCCCCAGGAGTCTAATACTCAGCTGCTTTGTCAGCCATGACCATGAGAAAGATGCGAAAGAGAGGGGGGGCGATGGGGTTGGGCACACCTGGGGTCCTGTCAATGTGTTAATTATCATAAGGTCACTCGTTTTAATGATGTGTTAATTACCCATCGCTATTTTCATCGCATCAGCTGCAATTATGGACGGCAACTTGCATTTATTTTCCGCCCTTCACTTTGAGTAACGTCTCGGAGAGCTTTGCAAATGGCAGTTTTTAATTACCTCAAAAGGTATACTGAACCATTGGCCAATTCCAAGAGATTTCAGGGAACGACAACAACAAATTAAATTGCGCAGCGCCTTTCATGTCGTGAGGACATCCGAGGGAAGAGAGAAAGAGAGAGAGAAAGGATTGAATGAGTTGGAGCTTGATTATGAAGAGACTCACAAAGATACTCAGCAAAACTGAACGGGTTTTCATTCAAGGAAGATTGGGGGGAGGGGGGAATAATAATCATAATAATAATCTTTGCATTTGTTATAGCGCCAAGGATGTCTGACTTGGATGAATCCGTTAGGGATATGTTTCGCTCGTGTGATGAGTCTGAGTTGCAAACCTACTCACTCACATTATATTTGAAGTTACTGCAACATATGCGAACAGAAATGATTAAAAAAACTTAATTAAAAATACATTTTGAACAGCTCAATTCTGCTCAATGCGCCATCACACTTTCCTTTCCCATCCTCTCTCTATTTTGAAACGTGCTTTTTTTTCCCGAATCTATTTAACTTAACTTCTGTACCTGGCACTTTGCTCATAATCACACAGTTACTACACTTTACAGTATATTCTGTGAAGCACTTTGAGACGTCCTCCTGACGTAAAAGGTGCAAAATCAAGTGCGAGGTTTATTATTATTATTACTATTAATCTTTCGATTTATAAATATTTTACAATCCAATCGCACCAGCTGTATGTTTCCTTGTATCTTTCTATCTCTGATAGTATTTAGAGCAGTTTTTTTTTATAGCTCAGTGGGAGAATAAACTTACTCTGATCCATAAATGAATTGCAGCATCTGTTCAATTCATTTGCTACCTTCATAATTCAATTCTTACACAATAAGCAACGGTAAGAGAAAATGATTCAGCTGCAACATGACAAAAATATCTATAAAATTACATCAGGTTGTTACAGTACAAGCAACAGCTGCTGGAGTCTGTGGGTGGGAGAGAACTCCTGTAGCTAGAAATTCAAGTGATTCAAGAACAAACGTCAATCCGCAAAGTTTTGATGATACCAAATCACTGCATCGAAGACACAATTAAAACAGAAACTCTTCTTTCCTTCCACCCCACAACCCCCAAACCGGCTCCACACACACTTGATTTTTTACGTGTGATTTTTTTAATATAATAATAATAATAACGTGGTCACTCAATGCAAACAATGTGTACAAAATACACAGTCACTCCACTTTACAGTATATTCTCTGAAACACATTGAGATGTCTCGAAGATGTGATAAGGCGCTATATCAAATGCAAGGATGATTATTATTTTTAACTGACTTTGTGAAGTATATCTCAACAAGATAGGGTTTATTTATTAAAAACTGTAGTTTATTTCTTCAATTTGTTAAAAAAAATCTGTCGCAAAGTGTTCTAGTTATTCCATCAAATCCGTGAGTTAATTTGTAATTTGCATTCATGAAAAATCTATTTGCCTTCCTCCCACCCTCTCTCGCCCATGTACAGCGGTTTGCAAATTGGCAGTAAAGACAGCGTGGACAATTATACTTATTTCCATCTCCTGGCACTGCGGACATGCTGCATACAAAAGATTGCAGTTGTGAATTGATGTGCTACTGACAAGCTACATCGCTTACTAAAACTGTGGGTTGTGCCAAAACAGGTAGGACAGTCGCTGAATTATTCAATACACACAGTCAATTCACTTTACAGTATGTTCTGTGAAACGCTTTGAGATGTCTCGAAGATGTGATAAGGCGCTGTATCAAACGCAAAGATTATTATTATTATTGCCTTGTGATGTGCTTTGAGATGTCCTGATGTGAAAGGCACAATATTAAATATAAATATTATTATTATTGTTATTGGGCATAGTGGGGATGTGTTTTGGAATGATGTTATACTGCTCAGTGTTAAGGTGCATCCTGAGAATATCAGATACATTAAGTATTTCCATCCCACTTGTAATGTATTGTCTTCTGTTTATTATCTTACACAATAAAATTTTAATAATTCCTGCATTTGATGTAGCATCTTGTACGTCAGAATGTTTTCTCAAGTGCTTCACAGGATTTTTTTTTTTACTGTAAATGTAGTGACTGTGCATTTTGTAGGCGAATGTCCCCATCACCAGTTTTAAAAAAAGCCGATATTTAGTCATTGCATTCTCATTCTACTTATGCCACTAAAGACTGGATCAGACAACTACAATAATGTTTTGTAAGTAAATGGTACTTATTCATTTTGTTTCCTCAATTATCTGATATAAAAACCATTATATTTTAGGAACCTCAAGGAGATGAGCGATACCAAAATAGCTTTATAATTGGTCTGCAATTTCTAATTCAGATGTCCTCATAGGTTTGTGTCATTGGGATTATACCTCGAGGTATTATACTGGAAACTTGTGCTTCTATATTTCACTGGCTTGCTTACAAGTAATGACTACAATTTTCAGTCGACTAGGATTAGTCTTATGGGAAATGATAATTCTCTCAGCTAACTAAAACGTTGGCAATGTGTGCTGTATTCTGAAATGTGACTCTCAAAGGTCAGCGATGTTAAAGTTATAAATGAAAAGAACTGACAGTGAATGCAAGCATGAGTGGAGAATATCGCCTGACTGCAGTCACAACTCCGAGTTAAATAAGTAACTCAGTTTAGCTTTCTAGATACACAGATCCATACCTCTCTGCTGCTGTATCTCATAATAGTCAATGTAGGAAATGTGACACAAATAATTTTTCGGTCACAGAAATACATATTTTAAGAGTTCTGAAGAACGTAGAGTATTAATGACAGCCGTTAAAATTACAGTTAATGATTGAAGATTGAAAGAAGAGATGTTTAAACCATTACATTTTTTTTTCAAAAACACAAAAAGTAAATGAAGACCCAAAGCTGTGGTAGCCAGCAATAAAAGGGTATATCCAAAAGTTACGTATTTTAGGAGTACTTTTCTTTTTACTGTTAGCTATTATAGCATTTAGCTTTATATTTTTATTTCAGATAAACTTCAAGCCAACTGAGCATTGCACTATAACCTATTATAGTTCTCTGAAAAAAATAATTCAAATAAGCTGCAGGCTAAATTTTTATTCACCACCAGAAGTGCATCACCACAGGTGCAAGATTCAATTGCACGTCAATTACTGTTTAAATCTGTGAAATCGGCTTTATTATCATGAAGAAAATGCAATATCACAATTCCGGTTAACTCCATTTTTTATGCAACATAAGATTCATGAAACGCAAATAAAATGATGTATCCTTGATCACGTTCCTTCCACCACACCAACTACATACATAAACAAGACTCGCTTTTCAACATTGTTAATAGCTCTTTGCTAAATAGCTATATTTTAACAAACCATTAATAATAATAAAGTTAATCTTTGCATTTGATATAGCGCCTTATCACTTTGTTGTGACATCTCAAAGCACTTCACAGGATATACTGTAAAGTGTAGCGACTGTTTTTTGGGCGAATTTCTACTTTATGATTTTTGCTTTAAATATTTCTTAAGATGCGATGGATATTTTTCTGAGGTGATCAGTCAGGCCTGCAGTAGGACGTACTGAGAATTGAATTACGAGCAGTTTATTAATGTGATGCAATTTAATGCCCACGAAATACACAATCAATTCACCTTACAGTATATTCTGTGAAGCGCTTTGAAACGTCTCGAAGATGTGATGAGGTGCTATATCAAATGCCAGGATTATTATTATTATTATTATAATAGTCATCCTTCTATCCAAGAGTCAGATGTCAACCTGGCCCAACTGGTAGCACTCTTGCGTCTGAGTCGGGCGTCTGCCAGTTCAAGCCCTCAAATGAAACTTTAAGCTTATATTCCAGGCCGACACTGTAGTGCAGGGAGGAGGGCTGCATTTCTTGAGGTGGGTCCTCCAAATGAGATGTCAAAACAAGGTTCCGCCTGGCTGTTCAGGTGGCCATTAATGATCCCATAACGCTGTTTAAAAAAAAAAGACTCCCTGTCCCTCAGTGCCTTGGGTAGCAATCCCCCAGATAAAATAGGTCATTCACTTCATGGGTGTTTGTGAGACATTGCTGTGCATAAATCAGCTTTCCTATTTGCCTACAAATGTACTGCCATTTACATTTTACAGTAAATCCAGTGAAGTGCCTGGAGATATTTTAACGACATGATAAGGAGCTACATCAAAAGCAAGAATTATTATCGTTTGTGTTGTCAAATAAACATTGAGATAAATAAAGTGAATGAATTGTTATCGTATGGAACAAAAA